TCTTTAGGCCTTTGATCATCTTAGTTGCTCTTCTCTGAATTTTTTCCAGACTCTCAACATCTTTTTTGTGGTATGGTGACCAAAATTGGTTGCAATATTCCAGGTGTGGTCTTACTAGGGTTTTATAAAGCGGTACTAATACTTCGCGTGTTCTTGATTCTATGCCTCTGTTACAACCCAGGATTGTATTAACTCATCCCACCAGGTTTCTGTAATACAAACTATGTCATACCCTCCCTCGTGTACTATTGCTTCTAGTTCACCCTGTTTGTTCCCAAGCTTTGATCATTTGTATATAAGCATTTAAGACTTTTATGCCTGTCCGTGGGTTTGTTTCCCGCATCTCCTGAATGTTGTTTGAGTTTTTCTTTTTTTCTCATCTCTGCCCACCTCATTGTTTGATTTATTTTGTTGGGATTTATGATTGGTTTTGGGTTCTAGAGATTCTGAAGATTGGTCACCCTCCCCCCTCAATTTTAGTTTAAAGCCCTCCTGATGGGTTGGGGCAGTCTTTTTCCGAGTACATTTTTCCTTGCCAAGAGTCCTTCGTGAAGGAAATGCAGTCTATGATCCATGAAACCAACGTTTTCTTGGCGACACCAACCCTTTAGCCAATGGTTTATTTCTAGAATTCTTTTTCCCCTCAATGGGTGTTGGCCTTTCATTGGGAGCACTGATGAGAAACTACTTGTGCTCCTAGCTTCTTAACTTTATTGCCTAGTTGTTTGTAGTCTCTCACTATTATACTCAGGTTCTTTCCTGTGTCATTCGTCCCAATATGGAGGAGGAGGAAGGGGTAGTAATCTGTAGGCCTAATTATTTTGGTTAGGTTCTCAGCCGCATCTTTGATTTTTGCTCCAGGAAAGGCTAGAAAGCAATAAACTGAGTTCCATTCTTCTCACCAGCTGGGTGACCTTGAGCTAGTCACTTTCTCTCAGCCCTAGGAAGGAGGCAATGGCAAATCATTTCTGAAAAACCCGGCCAGGAAAATTATATGGACTAGTCCATGCATTCTCTGAGAATCAGTCACAACTGAATCGAAGGGGGGGAGTGTTTTAAGAAAGGTTCTGTCCTATGTTGGTCCTGTAAACATCTCTTTTGGCATGTTCCTGTAGAGGTCATCTATAAACCAGAGGTCCCACCAAGGTCTGTGCACAGAGTTCACAACTCTATTGTTGCTTTCATTCTACTGGCAACAAAGGTCCTGGTTGAATCCCTATCAGCATTTCAGTGACAACCTCAGATCTTAAGTACCAATCAAATAGAACTGGCCTCCCTACAGTGGGGAAAAATGAATTAAAATTCAAGGTTAATGGAGTGGTCTGCCATGACAAAGGACTGATGACTATATATTAGGGCTCCAGATCACCATGCCACTGCCCTGAGACAAAAAGCAGGTATAACATATGGTTCCGGTGTGAATCAGGCTCTGAATAAACAGAAAAGCAGGTCTAACATGTGGTTCCTGTGTGAATCAGGTTGCCTCAAAGGTTGCAATTAGAGAAGGCAGGTTGAAGTTTATTAAGTGTTTTGCTGTCCGTAATTAAAAAAAACATTTTTTGGCTTGTTTGTTTTAGCACATACAAGGCATATTCCAAGCATATTGTCTTAGTGTCACATGTATCCTGGGGGAAAAAAACCCTAAACTTTAGCCAGCAATATGTGCCTATACATATGCTTGACCCATGTGAATAGAACAAAGTGTATGAATGAACCATGCACTAGACACTGTTCTCATCCTATGGAATTATGCCTTCCTCCTATAACAACAGCTGATTGGCTGTCTAGATCAGTAGTCCTCAACCTTTGCAGCTTGGTGGCCCAGCTGTGGGAGGAGAGGGGAACTGGGCTGCATGGGCAGTGGGCCAGCGTGCATGCACGTAGCTGGCCCGCCACACATGTGTACGATTGCCCATCGCTCATGCAAGTTGAGCTGCATACGTGCACGCAATACAGCCAGCCAGCCAGCTACGTGCGTGGCCCAATTCCAAATAGGCCATGGCCCGGTATTGGGTTGGGGACCCCTGATCTAGATCACAGTCAGTATCTTTGGGAACGGTCCCCAAGCAAGATAGCTTGTAAAAAAGCAGGCAACCCAAGCCATGGACTATACCATATTCACAGGTCTGATTCATTTTAATTTCCCTGTTGCTAAGCCAGAAACCTACTTGTTCTCAACTCAATCTATATTACAGGCTGGTTATGGAAAAAAAATAAGAGGAGAGAGTACTACGTATACCTCTGAGTTCAAGAATAAAAGCCAGAATATAAAGCTAATAATTCAGGATTAGTGTGTTAATAATGCTGTGATTTGTGAATTCTGTTGAAATGGGTCACAAAACAAATTAATTCCCAATTTATGTGAAATATACTAAAGGTACCAAAAACCATCCAGATATATCCTGCCTGTACATGGGGAATCTCTTCTAGAGTCTTAAAATTTAAATATGCAGATATTTTCACCGCCCAATGTTAATATCAATGAGAATATTAACCTTTTTTTCTTTTTCATTCATTGTAGGAGAGGATTGATAATGGGATTATGGAATTCACACACTTCAGTCGGAAATATATTAGGATCCTTAATAGCTGGCTACTGGGTATCTACTTGCTGGGGTCTGTCTTTTGTGGTACCTGGCATTATAATATCCTTAATGGGGATTATATGCTACCTGTTTCTTATTGAACGTAAGTACCTATGGTGAAATGGATTTATATACGTGTGGGTGTAAAAATGTATCTAAGTATATGTACATGTATATATGTACGTATGTGTGTGTGTGTATACACATAAATACATACACATAAATACAGATTTCGTTTTCATCTGGAATCAGTCAATCAATCAATCAATGCTATTCACAGCCATAAAATAAAGCCTAATCTCCTAGCTTTTCTTTGTCAAATAACAAAATAGATTTAAAAATGTAGAACTGAATCCAGGATAGAACAGAAGCTGTAACCTTAACCCATCTGCAATTTAGATATAGGTTTAACAAAACTTTCATATTTAATGACAATTTTCCATTATTGTGCCCTTTCATAATAATAGTTTTTTTATTACTGCAGTTGGCAACATTTTGAAAAATATGCTATATGTGTGTTAATTTATTCTATTTTCTATTGCATTATTTCAGATCCTAAGGATGTAAACGATACAGTCAAATCATCAACTGTAAGTAAAGTGTTTTTTTTAACAATATCTAACAACTGATATTTTTTGGGAAGGGGGAGGTTAGGGGGAAAAATCAATCTTGGGAAATACCTTATTCAGCTTCCTTTTCCTTTAATGTTCCAGCAAAACTGCTGTGATTTTCAGAGGTTGGAACACAATACTTGCACATACTGGTTTATCTTATTAAGTATTTGATCCAAAATCGATGAGACGATTTTATTCAATAGTTTCAAGATGCCCAAAATGTTCTCCCACTAATGTGTTCTCCATGGCCTGCCCTCAAAGACCATTGGGAAGCTGCAATTGGTCCAGAACACAGCACACAAGTAGCTATGTGTGAAGCACAGTATGCCCATGTAATTTCTCTATTCAAAAGCTGCACTGACTTTCAGTAGGCTTCCAGGTACATTCCAAAGTGCTGGTTATCATCCATAAACTGCTATATGACACAAGACCAGTTTGTTTGTGGGACCATCTCTGGTTATATTGCCTTGTCCCACATACTGTTCCAAGCTGGTCATGATACTTCATGGATATCAACCTCATGTTGTTGGACACGGGAAATTTGCTTTCTTTATGACAATGCTTACCCTTTAGAATGAAGGGTAGTCAGATTTCATTGTCTTATCCCCGTCCCCACACACTAACCTTTCAAAAATATTTAAAAACTAGCTTTTCCTCTAGGCATTTTGGTTGGGATGTTAGTTGTGGTCATCCAAGAGATGTTTCTTTGTTTCTAAATTTGTTGGTGCTGTTTTTAATTTTATGTTAGCCACCTAGAATTGCTTTGGTGAATTGGGTAGTCATAGAACATTGATTAAATAAAATAAAATGAATTAAAATAAAATATGCCCATTGATTAACACCAAATAAGACCACTTATTTCTACTAATATCATCTTTATAGAGATGGCACAAATCATTCCACTATCATAGATGAACCCAGTACCTGCTCTTTCTCTTGTTGCTTCAGTCCCAGCTTCTTTGCCCTACCCTCTCCATCTTCTATTGCCACATCCTTCTTCATTGCACCTATTAAAATATATTTCAGAAACGTTATCTGAAAGGCTCAAGTAAATTCAGGATTTTGAAGCCAGCAGTAAGCAGTAAGGTAACAGAGACATCTCAGGTAAAGCTAAAATATTTTCATAAATAGTTTTAAAGTGCTTATTACGATCCTTGTAAATCATCTGCATGCTATAGAAAAAGTCATACAGCTTAATGAAATAGTCTTTGCTCAATCACAGTTGTTCCAATTCTTCATAATCAGGCCTGATTTTCATTTATCTGTCCTTGTGTAGCTCAGTGTATCTGTGTGTGTTTAATTTGAGTGGGTCATTACTTTTAGGGCTTTAAAAATACCTTGTTAGCATCTGATAGGGCTGGCTTTACCCTGAGGAAAGACGAGACAGCCAGTTCAGATGACAGAATAGGAAAAGTGGTCTTTCCAATTGACCCAAGTCCTGATTCCATTCTGCACCCAACTCCAATGTATCACTCTAACCATTCTTGGAGCAAGACTCCAATGCTATTAAACTTCCTATGAAACATTCCAAAGTTTTAAGAAAGGTCAGCATTGTATTACTTTACCAATGTGCTTGTTAAATACTGATTACTTTACTAATACACTGGTTAAATGTTTGTAAGTCACCCAGGGTTGCCTCAAAGCAAGACGGGTGGCAAACAAATCAAATGAAATATAAAATAAATACAGTAGGCCCCAAAAAGAGCCCATGCCAGATAAGAAATCTGAGCAACAGGAAAATAAAGTGAAGGTAATGTCATGGCAACAAAGCTTATCCTGAGAATGGAGGTGTTCTATATATACCCAAATATTCTTGCTTTCATTGGGAAAGACTTTTTAAGTGAAAGCTAAGGATACACTCTATCTTTTTGTAATATGAGGGAATTGTGGCTTAAGCAATGATATAACTCTATTAGTAACAATATCTATTTACGGTATCTCTATGCTTATAGAAAACCGGGTATTCAAATTCCACATGGGAAGCCCATAATGTGTGGAATGGAAAATAGAGAAACTCCTATTCCTCCCTCTTAATGAAATCATAATAGTTACTCTGAAGCACTGCCTTCTTTCTACTCCATAGCTGTGTTCTGAGCAAAGGGATAAATAAGCATGGTGTGTTCACGCTGAAAAAACAAAACGTCCCTCTGACTGTTTTACAGAATTTGCAAGCACATTTGCCCTACAGAAAAAGACAAGAAGTGATCTTTGTGTAAAGAGAGGAACTGTTTTTTGTTTGCTTGCTTCTTTTCCTGAGAAGGAAAAGGCAAACAGTAATATCTCTTGCTCCCACCTCACTGAACAGAAAAAATAATAATCTCAAAAGCAGGAACAGGGATTAGAGGAAATCTAAAGAAGTTTCTCCTAACTGAAGTCTTCCACCTTGGCCTTTGGTCCACAGGGGTGGAAATGGGAGGTCTCTGATCTGGATGTGGTTCCCACTTCTGCTATTACACACAGAACATAGAACATGAAATGCTTCCTTAGTATTCAGTATATAAATAGCATATCAATATATCATTTCTTTTTTTTAACGGTACATTATAATATCTCAGTTGCTTAGTTTATAAAGAGAAGAGACATACTGCTTACATTGAGTTTGATGGGGTCTTTTATAGGATCCAGAAATGCATTGTCTGCTACCAAGCAATGAGAATTGCACAAAGCCACTGAATCTTAATGGAGGATATGAACACTTTGAAAATGGAAATGCTGCAATAAGTTTCACTGGAGCTTTGCAAATACCTGTGAGTATGCCAGCTTCTCTAGTAATGGTACTGGGGGCGGGGATCATTGGAAATATCCACATCACCCAAATTCTAATTTGAATGCGGGGACTACCGGTAATTTGAATGTGGGGACTATGGAGATAAAATCCTTAGAAGTATGCAGATCAGCCAATTTCTAATTTGAATTTACAATCAGATTTGAATCTCTTTGATTTCAAGATTCAGTTCTATTGTATTGAAGTATGTGTACATATGTGCAAAAGGCTTCTGGATCTTTGAATTGAACGGAAAGCATCTGATTTTATTCAACACATTAAGTGAAGTTGACAGTTTAACACTTAATTCATTTGAAAGGAGAGGATCAATCAAACTGAAACCTGAATCAATCCTATAGATCCCTAGAAAACCGTCAGGTTTGTTGTTAATGCATGGCTTTGGAATTACCATTAGTGGGTATTACTTCACAGAGAAGGAAACCCTCTAGACAGCGTAAGGTTCAATTAGCAAAAAGCGCTGTGCCCTTAACAGAGATGAGAGATCAGAATGGACTATGCAAGAAGATTCCTCCCTACCCCCAAGTTTGAAAGATTCCAAGATCACAGTCACTATTAAATGATAGCAAAAGAAAGAGTTTTATTGGATGATACCTTATCCGCTGATTTGCAAAGGAGGGTCTGATATTAATGTGCAGTGGGGGCTGTTCCCAGGCAAGGCTCACTTGCTATGGAACTTTCCAATGGATCCCTGATCCCATATATTGAAATAAATTTTATTGTTTGCTTTGTATCAGTGGTTCCCCTTCGAATATAGGCTGTTTATGCATGATCCTATATTATCATTCAACTATCTCTGTATAATATTGGACAATTACATGTTGTACCGAAATCCTTGCACAAAAATTAGCCCAAAGTAAAGTGTTTATTGTCTTTTTCTTTTCAAATAAATCTTATTTTCCATTCTTTGTAGGGAGTGGTAGAATTCTCTCTCTGCCTATTATTTGCCAAATTAGTCAGCTACACTTTTCTTTTCTGGCTTCCACTATATATCACTAATGTCGGTAAGTGTCCTAGTTTAAAGAATTATGAAAGGCTGGTCATATAAAACATTACCACAAATCATATTTGAGAGAGAGTTCAATATGGTTAAACTTTTTCAAAAATTCAGTCACACGTTTACTCAACTGAGTCCTTTGGGAGTGGTGGTTTTTTTTAAAAAGTAAATAAAGCATAATAACAGGCAAACATTTCTCAGATTTTTATTTAATAGATATGATGAATTAAGTTATTTTTGTAAGTTAAACAAAAAAACTGATTATATCCAATTACATAAAGTACTGTTTGCTAAAGATGTGCATGTTCTATAACAGTGATGGCGAACCTTTTAGAGACTGAGTGCCCAAACTGCAACCCAAAACCCACTTATGCATCGTCGAGTGCCGGGTGGGTGTGGCCCATTGGGTGGGTGTGGCCAATTGGGTGGGTGTGGCCAATTGGCTGGGCGTGGCTGCGGTGGTAACGGCAGACAAGGTGGGACTAAAAAGTTCAATCAATTCCATCTTTGCAAGATCTTTTTTCCGCGAGAAGTTGAAATTGACTGATTGACCTTTTTTTTTTTTTTTGCACATGGCGGCGGAGGCCTAAAGCGAAAAGGTTTTATAAAACCCAGCTGAAGGCCTAGGACTGGGGTGACGGCACACGTGCCCACAGAGAGGGCTCTGAGTGCCGCCTCTGGCACCCGTGCCATAGGTTCGCTACCACTGTTCTATAACAATTTCACCAGCTAAATATCTGCTCATAACAATTGCTGATTGGAGTAAGGAAAGACAGAGAGATACAAGAAACTGTGTATGACAAAAATTAGGACATATGTTTCCCAGCCAGTCTCGCAATCCCTTGCTCTGCCCCCCACCCAGCAACAGCCATTTACCTGCCAGATAGAAAAGGATGGAAAGGGGGAAGGAAG